GTTTCAATTTCATTGATTAGTTCTTTATTTGCTTGTTGTTGTTCTTTTAGGATGTTTGTCATGATTTTCTTGATTGTCCCTTTTTTTATTTATTCTTTCAATATACTTATATCCTTAGGGTATGTTAAGTATATAATTATTTTAGTACTTTTTACTTTAAATGTGGAAAAAAGCTAACAATATTTGTTAAAGATTAAACTTATTAGAGGCAAAAATTTAAAGTTAATTCATCATTATTAAACGAAATTCTACATAGAAATAATAATAATAACAAACTCAAGGGGTAATTTATTATCACTAATTTGTTTGTTAAAAGTAAATAACGAATTTATGTATCATTTGGTTAACCAATGTTATGGAGTTACTAAAGATCCAAATGAAAATGATTATTTGTTGGTATTTGAATATGCTCCAAATGGAGATTTACATAAACATTTATCAAAAGATTTTAAAAAAATTACTTGGCAAGATAAAATTGATTCACTTTTGATGATTTCATTTGGGTAAATTTATATTTATTATTAGATTTATTATTTTATTTTATGAAAAAAATAACATTCATCATGACATGCACAGTGGTAATATTTTTTCATCTTCTACATGGAGTAATAGAATAGGAGATTTGGAGTTATGTCAACAAATAGTTGATAAAAAAGATAACATCCATGGAATAATTCCATATTTGGCACCTGAAGTACTATCAAAAAAACCTTATACAAAAGAATCAGATATTTACAGTTCTGGCATGATAATGTGGAGCATACTACAGGAAAGAAACCTTTTCATGATAGACCACATAATCATATTCTTATATTAGATATTTTAAAAGGAGAAAGAACTCAAATCACTGACAATACTCCAGAATTCTATGCTGAATTGATGAAAAAATGTTGGGATCATAATCCAAAAAAATAGACCAACAGCTTATGAAATTTGAAATTGTTTATGGGAATATATATTTGGAGAAAAAAGAAAAATTATCTACTCAGCAGAAGCCAAAAGACAAGAAATTATCAAATCAGAAAAATTCCTTACAAATACAAAGGATTATAAACATCATCCCAAATCATTTTATACAAGTTGTCTATTAAATGAATCAATCCAACAAGCTGAATCATTATTAAACCTTTTATCGACTGAAATTCAAAATAACATTAAGAATCTTTTTTATTTTTTTTAATTAAAAGTTTATAAACATTTTTAACTTTTTTTTATCTTGGAAAAAAAAAAGACTTAGATACGAACAAATCCTATTCTCAGAATTACAAGGTAATGATTCTTCAGGTAGACAAGAATCTAAATAAGAAAAATAATTTGTAAAAGAAAGTTACACACCAACTTTTCATAATGTATTTAATTTAATAAATAGATATTTGATGAAAAAATAACATATAATTTGAAAAAAAAGCTATCTTCCATTAGTGGAAAATCACCTTATTCCAACTTCAAAACATTTGTTGTTAATTAATAAACAATGAACCATTGCTTCGTTGCTTCTTATTGGAAACCTTGTTCAATTCATATATCTTTAAAGCTAATACATCATATATACACATTTTATTTGCATGCTTAATTGATTTGACTATTTATGGTGATCAGTTTTCTTTTTTAAAAAAACATTCATGGTACATGGTTACATATAGTTGCATTATATTATTATAATAATATTTATGCTGTTAGCATCATTTATTAGCAATATATTCATTACTATCTATGGCAAACACAAATTTTTACAATTGCTAGTTATATTAGTTATATCAAAAGCTAACTTCAATATATACATGAAAAATAGATAAACAAATAATAAACAACTATATTAAATAATAAATGATTTATTAAATAATTAATTATAATTATTCACTATATTGCTTTTGATTATTAAAATTATTTTGTATAAGCTTAGTTACTGTTATATCACGTTTTGCACCATCACGATCTTTATTATGTGAAAGTTTTAATAGCTTTCTAATATTGTGGCTATTGCTTAGACAAGAACTCTTTTTATTCCTTGATTCTTGGAATTTTTTGTCAGCCTCTTTAATCAATAACTGAAAGATGAAATGTAAATTAATAAAAAAGAATTCCTTTAAAAAAAAACAACAACAAAACAACAGTGTGACTTACTGCCCATGTGACAATTGCTCTATAGAAAGAGACAAAATTTGGAATTTCTTTCCAATCTATTAAAATTTCACAAGATTCTATCTCAAAAATACAATACTGGTCTTTGTATTAAAAATAAAAATAAAAAAATAATTAATTAATTAAATGATTAATTAATAATTTTTATTATATTAAGTATTGACATGCACACATACTGATATAATCCATAAAATAAAATTTTAAGTTAAATTCATAAACTTAAACCATAAAGGATCTAAAATACAATGGAAGTGGTCTTTTGTGCAACACTTCTTGAATTACTGCAAAATTAATAATATCTTTGGCAGCACAGGCACTTTGGATGAAATCACTTGTTTCTTTGTTTTTTTCAACAACATATGGATGGCTTCCTTCTGTTGCAGAAATTTCATAGGAATTTTGCTGATTCAACGTATATGCCATTCCATCTGCCTGATCAGCATTTCCTTTTTGATTCATGATATTTTTTCTATATACTGCAGGGTTGGCAAATTGACTGGTCCATTGAGAACAGATGGATTTTGGACTGGCCCATTGCCATTAGTAAAATACTAAATATGGTTAAAGTGTTACACTAATGGACCCAATGGACCATCAATGGACCATACATTTGCCAACCCTGATATACTGAAGCTTTAATAGCTTTATTTCCTCTACAAAAGTATGATGAAAGTTAAATAAATTGTTACATATTAATAAGGTAAGATCAACAAAAATATATACTTACAGCACATATCTAATATCGGAAAAATGGCTCAAGGCTCTTTTTAAAACTGGATGAACATACATATTCATATATTCTTCCTCATTCTTTTCTTTGTTTTTAAGAGGATTTTTGGACATAAATTTGTAGGAATCAAGACTAGAATTTTGAAACATTAGCACATATTAGTATCTACAAAAAAAAAAAAATTATCCTTATACTTACAAAATTGGCAATGTTTCTATTATCAATCTTTTTAATTTTATAATAAATTTATTTTGTTTTGGAGTAGCTTCCATCAAGCTCTTGACCTTGTCTTCCCATTGTTGTTCACTTAATTTCTATAAATAAATAAGGCAAAAAAAATCAATTTTTATTATCAAATTGCATGATAATTAATAAGTGGTGCAATATTTGTATGATTTACCTCCGAAAAAAAATCAATTGAAAATTTATCAGCTTCTTCAGGAAAGAGCTTGTCAATTGGGTCAAAAACTTTTTTATCAACGAATCATATTTTGTTTCCTCAAGGCAGGGTTGGCAAATTGACTGGTCCATTGAGAACAGATGGATTTTGGACTGGTCCATTGCCATTAATAAAATACTAAATATGGTTAAAATGTTACACTAATGGACCCAATGGACCACCAATAGACCATCAATGGACCACACATTTGCCAACACTCCTCAAGGTACATAAGGACAAATTCAGATGAGGAACTTAAGTCTATTATTGCATTTTCAGAAAGGATGTTTTTTACTTCACATTGGTAAGTATTAAAATTAGGTAAGATTGTACTGAATTCTTCTAAATAGGTTGACTTGTCTAAAAGTTTTCTGATTTTGATGTCATATTCAACATCTTCTTGATCACCAGACTACTTGAGAAATTAAGAAATTAGTCAATCAATATAATTATCAATATATCAATTAAGGATTTTTATACCTCTCCATTGTTTTCATTTTCTTCATAATCTTGTGATTCCTCGCTAACGTCAATATCATATTTTCCATTATAAGACTGTGAAACAGTGTCTTTTGATCTTTTATTATATGAAAAAAAGTTTACAGAAAAGTTACAGGAAAATACAGAAAGTTTATTAAAAATTTACATGAATCTTATTCTATATGAAAAAGTTTGCAGAAAGTTTATAAGAAACTAGAGTGACAATGAGTGGCGGGCAATAACCACCACTACCATCCTTAAAACACTTACTCGTTATCTTCACCAAGTGCAGTTTTTTTTCTTCTTTTATTAGTTGTGGATTTTGACATCTTGAAATCAAATTTAAAAGTTTGTTGTGTGATCAACGCGTACACATTAATCATTTATGGTTTTTTTTTTGGTAGGACAGATGCAAATTGATTTTTTTTTTCTTGGAAAAACAATTTATTTTTTGACAGAGTCCAAGGTGACAAAATGTGAGTGTTGTTGCTTGGTTTGGTTTGAATCTACTAAAGAAGAAGTGTTAATAACTAACCAGAGGTACTTTTTTTTATTGGTATTGATATGTATGTGGTGATTTTTATTTTATATAAATATTTTAATTGGAATCAAAATGTGGAGCAGATCTTGCTGGGTAATTACAAGATTTTCATTGATAATATTTT